AGCAATGCCCTAGCACACAGTAAGCGCTTGCTGGGAATGGTGGTGTTTTGGGAATAATCTGTGCCCCGCCCTGAGCTGTTTCTTTCCGTCTCCTCTGTCAGCGGATCCTAAACAACCCAGTGAGACAGACACATCTATCATCCCATTTTACAGGGGAGGACACTGAAGCACACAGAGGGGAGTCACCAGCCAGAGGATGCATAGCCGGCACACAGAGGAAATGGGCTAGAGGCTGGTCCCTTCCTTGGGCCCAATACCCTTCTCATTCCCTCCCCAGGATGGAGGCAACGCCAGAACGCAGCACCGGCCCCACTTACCCAACTCTGTACAAAGCCCTTGTCCCCATGAAATTGTATATAAATCATCCTTTTCTACCAGCTCTGGCCAAGTCTGTCTGTGGATGGGTGTGAATGGGGTCGTTCTGATTTCAGAATCTTGGTTTTTCAGTTGCAATGCAATGTTTCATTCAATACGTGTTTTCTGAGGTCCCCTGAAGCCCCGGGCCAGCACTGGGCAATGCCAGAGACCGGATTTGAGTCAGAACCAGCCCAGTCGCCCCAGGTCTCCTAGGCTATGGACGAGAAGACAAGGGACTCAGCGAGCCTGGGTGCAGGATGCCATAGGCTCCTATGGAGATAGCACAGAGGCAGTGTGAGAGCCCGCGGAGGGCAGCTCACCCAGGTTGGAACATCAAAGAGGCTTTCCAGAGCCAAAGGGCATTGCGATGGTGACAAGCCAGATTTGGAGGGGTTGGGGAGGGCATCCTGGGCAAGGGACCCAACTGAAGCAAAGGCCGACAGTCCAGAAAGTGAGAAGTTCCTCTGAGGAACGCTCAGCGGATTGGTGCAGCCAGGCATCTAGAAGCCATTCCTTCATAAACTCTTAGAGGCCCTGGAGAAGACCACCTCCATCTGTTTTACAGAAGGAGAAACTGAGGCCCGGATAAGGCCAGGGGTTTGTCCAGGTCAGAGTGAAGTCGACCAGACACAAGAATCCAAATCTCCAAGCCTAGAATGGGCAGGACGCCGGGGCTCACGCCGCTAAACCCAGCACTTTGGGAGGCTGAAACGGGAGGATCGCTTGAGCCCAGGAATTCGAGACCAGCCTGGCCAAACATGTCAAGACTCCCCAAAAGCCCGGGCCACAACAACAACAACAAAAAATAAATAAATATATATATATATATCCCTTGAGCCCGGGAAGTCGAGGCTGCGGTGAGCCAGGATCGCCCCACTGCACTCCGGCCTGGACGACAGAGCGACATCCTGTCTCAGAAAATAAAGTAAGCCTGAACTGTGCGCGGAAGGGCGGGCCTGGCGGGTCTGGTCTCCCCCTGCGGGCCACCAGAAGCCCTGCAGCCTTCAGTCGCTAGAAAGGGTAATGCCGCTTCCCCTCACAAACATGGCGGACAGGGCGTCTGAACGAGATGAACAGCCTCTCAAAAACATGGCCGCCGAGGCTGGACGGCAGCGCCCCAGCAGCACCGCCTCCACGCCCCACGTGATCTCTCGCAGGGCACAGCGCGGACTGCGAAGGGTCCAACCGGAAGAATGTCCGGATTGGACATTCGGAAGAGGACCCGCCTTCCCTGGGGAATCTCTGCGCACGCGCAGAACGCTTTGACCAATGAAAACACAGAAAGCTGTTCGCGCAGTCCGCGTTGCGTCACTTCTGCCGCCCCTGTTTCAAGGGATAAGAAACCCTGCGACAAGACCTCCTCCTTTCCCAGGCGGCTGCCGAAGATGGCGGAGGTGCAGGTGCGGGCTCCGAGCGGGCCGGGGCGGCACGGGGTCGCACGGGGCCGGGTGGGATCCAGGCCGGAATGGGGTTGCACCCTCTCTGTCCTCCTACATGTTTTGTGGAGCTTAACGTCCACAATTAAGCAAAATGGAAGTCTTTTGGGATAAGGGGCATCTGTAGGAAATGCCGCGGCTCCCTTTAGGCCTAAGGGTTGGCTACAATGCGGCATTTCCTTCTAGAGGTGAGGGTGACGGAGCTTCCAGCACAGGACAGGTATTTTACAACTAGACTTCGCTTACCTTGAACTCGGGTAGTGGCTGGGGTCCCTGGGGTCGAGTCTTGACCGAATTGGACCTTTGTGTGCCCTCAGCGATGAGGAACGCGCGGAAGTGTGACCGGGCGGTGTCGGGTCAATGAGTTTTGGCCAAAATGGAAGGTATTTTCATCCCGCCCAGTGCGCGGGCTACTTTGATCTCACGTGGAGGTGTTAATCGGGGTCCCCTGGCGCTCCGGTTGTTTTAATTCTCAATGCCTTTCTGCGGGGGGTCGAGAGAGCTGTTGGCTGCCGGATACTCAGGAATGAACTCGTTTTCCCTGGTTTTGGGGATTGGCGATTGTCCTGAGGCGTGTTACTGGAACTCGAGAGCTGTGATGAATGGTTCCACAAGGTTGGAACATCTTTTGGGCTTGCAGACAACTACGGGTCCTTTCCCTGGCTCCTGGTGTAGCTACTTAAGTATAAAGAAGGGGTTGGCCCTGGAAAGGTTTTTTTGTCTGTGGTTGGGGCGGGGGCGGACATTTCAGAGCCAGGCCAATCTAGGCAGGTTGTGTTCACCAAGCCTGTGTCTTTGTGCCCAGCACAGTTTGCAATGATTTGCGTAGTTCGCTTAACGATATTCTCGAGGTAGATAGGGTATCCTCCTTTTACAGAGGAGGAAATTAAAGCTTGGTGATTGGTGATTTTTGGCCAAGGTCACGACTTCAGGAAGTCTGTTTGGATTTAGATTCTTTGTACCAACGCTTACAAAGCCTGTGTAATAACAAGTGTGTGCTTCATTCTTTTGCATTAAAACAATGAGGATTTCTACTCTTTTAGTTATTTTCTGAGACGGAGTCACTGTGACGCCCAGGCTGGAGTGGAATGGTGCGATCTTGGATTATTGCAACCTCTGCTTCCCGAGTTCAAGTGATTCTCCTGCCTCAGCCTCCCGAGTAGCTGGGACTGCAGGGGCCCGCCACGACGCTCAGCTTATTTTTGTGTTTTTAGTAGAGACAGGGTTTCACCCTATTCGCCAGGATGGTCTCGAACTCCTGACCTCAAGTGATCTGCCCGCCTAGGCCTCTCAAAATGCTGGGATTACAGGCGTGAGCCCCCGCGCCCAGCCAGGATTTCTGCTCTGGAGGAAGCTGAGGTTTGGTGTCTGAGCAGTTTACCCGGGAAAGCAGAGTGACTCTATAGCAGAGCTAGCATGGACTTTTGACTACCTAATCTCATCCCACCTGAAATTCGGTTTTCTTCCAAATTAAATTCGTGGTAGGAAGACCTTGTACCTTAGAAGAGAATTAGATTGTGTTATTCTACAATTGATTGGCCACGGTGGCTCAAGCCTGTAACCCCAGCATTTTGGAAGGCTGAGGCAGGCGGATCACTTGAGCCAGGAGTACAAGAGCAGCCTAGGCAACATAACAAAACCCTGACTCAACAAAAGTACAAAAATTTGCTGCGTGTGGTGGTGTGTGCCTGTAGTCCCAGCTACTCATGAGGCCCAGGTAGGAGGATGGCTTGATCCTGGGAGGTCGACAGCCTGTGCAACAGCAAGACCCTGTCTCAAAAACAAATCCTGCAGTTTATTAGCTTCAAGGTCTTCTAACTGGATAGTCAGGGGGCAGAGCCTTGCTGGTCTTCATTCAAATCCTGTTGCTTTGCAAAATGCAATCTGAGTGTAAAATCATACTCATAGAAGAAGTGAGATAGGGGGTTCAGGCCCCTTACACTGTTCGCTCACTGATCCTGAGGCAGCCTTGCTTTCTCAGCCCGTTCCCTCATCTGTAGAGTGGGGCTCTAGTGCATAGTTCCCAGCTCAGATGGCTGGGTGCAAGGCACCTTGTTGGCTGGGCAAAAGAAGGGAATGCTTGCTTGTGAGGACAATCACAGAAAGATTGTCCTTGTCTCTGAGCCCTCTTGCCCTTGTCTCCCACAGGTCCTGGTGCTCGATGGTCGAGGCCATCTCCTGGGCCGCCTGGCGGCCATCGTGGCTAAACAGGTACTGCTGGGTAAGTCGCTGCTTGCGGCCCCCCCTTGTCATGGGCCCCCGCTGGCGGTCGGTGATGAGCAACATTCACCATCTTTCGTTTGAGTCTCACGGCCATGAGATCAACCCCATGCACCGCTCTGAGACCTGCCAGCCACTATTCCCCAGGGTTGGGGACTCCAGGCTCAAGAAGTGGTTTTCTATTAGGCTAGCTTTTCATTTAAACACGAACTTAGCTCTGGCGAGTACTGCGCTGTGTCTGGAGGGTAACTGCACAGGCGGTGGGAGAACCCTCAGGTGGCTCGGCCCTTCCTAACCCTTTCCCTCCTTGTAGGCCGGAAGGTGGTGGTCGTACGCTGCGAAGGCATCAACATTTCTGGCAATTTCTACAGAAACAAGTGTAAGTTAGGGCCTGGGAAGAGCACTGGAGAGGGTCTCCCAATGGGGTGTTGAGACTCTGAAAGCAATTCCAGTCGTGTTGGGAGAGACTGCTTGGGGTTCCTGAGAAGGCCCTTGGAAGTGGGGTTTTGGGGGTGCTGGTAGACCGGGCGGGCCTCACACTCTCCCCTCTCCCTAGTGAAGTACCTGGCTTTCCTCCGCAAGCGGATGAACACCAACCCTTCCAGAGGCCCCTACCACTTCCGGGCCCCCAGCCGCATCTTCTGGCGGACCGTGCGAGGTGAGCGGGGCGTGGGGACTGCAGGTAGTGACGGGCAGGCGGCCGGTGATGAGAACTTCTCCCACTCTCATTCGAGTTTCTCGACCGTGAGATGACTCCACATGCACTACCATCTGAGGCCACCCGTGGGCCCACCTCAGCGGGGAGGGTGGCTGTCCTTATGAGCCCCTCTGACAGGGCCTGCTGTCCGTCACCCAACAGGCATGCTGCCTCACAAGACCAAGCGAGGCCAGGCTGCCCTGGACCGCCTCAAGGTGTTTGACGGCATCCCACCGCCCTACGACAAGGTGAGCTGTGCCAGCTTCCCCACAAGGCAGCAGCCTTGCCTGTGGCGTCTGTGATGTTCCGCAATTACCTACATTGTTTGATCCTCATGAAAGCAGCACTGGCTGAGACGCCTGCCCAGCCAACCCCCTTCCCTCTCTGTCCCTCCAGGGCTCTGAGCCCCTCTCTTTCTTTAACAGAAAAAGCGGATGGTGGTTCCTGCTGCCCTCAAGGTCGTGCGTCTGAAGCCTACGAGAAAGGTGAGTCCCAGCTTACGCTGCACCGTCTAGTTTGGGGATTTCAGGCCTGCTGAGGGACCCTGGGGCCCGGAGCCTGGCAGATGATGTCCTTATCTCACGATGGTCTGCGGATGTCCCTGCGGGAATGGCGACAATGCCGACGGCTTAGCTGATGCCAGGAGGGTCGGGTGGGTGCTTTTCTAACAGGCCTGCAGGGAGTAGCTGCGTTGTATCCCCAGCTGTCACTCACCTCCCAGCTTTCACCAGCTCCGGCTCCTCAGGGTGTGGGGGCTTACATGTCCTTACAACTTCATATCTTCAACCCCCAGTTTGCCTATCTGGGGCGCCTGGCTCACGAGGTTGGCTGGAAGTACCAGGCAGTGACAGCCACCTTGGAGGAGAAGAGGAAGGAGAAAGCCAAGATCCACTACAGGAAGAAGAAGCAGCTCATGGTGAGGACAGGCTGGTGCTGAGGGGGCATCTCACTCTTGGATGGGCCTGACAGGTGCTGTCCTGCCCACAGAGGACTCTTAACTGGCAAAGGACCAGCCGGGGTTGGGGTGGGATGGAGCCCGTGTGATGCGGGCAGTCGAACCCCTCCTGACCACCACCACCTGCACTTACTCTTGGCAGAGGTTACGGAAACAGGCCGAGAAGAACGTGGAGAAGAAAATTGACAAATACACACAGGTCCTCAAGACCCACGGACTCCTGGTCTGAGCCCAATAAAGACTGTTAATTCCTCATGCGTGGCCTGCCCTTCCTCCATCGTCGCCCTGGAATGTGCGGGACCCAGGGGCAGCAGTAGTCCAGGTGCCACAGGCGGCCGGGGACATAGGAAGCTGGGAGCAAGGAAAGGGTCTTAGTCACTGCCTCCCGAGGTTGCTTGAAAGCACTCAGAGAATTGTGCAGCTGTCATTTATCTATGACCAATAGGAAGAGCAACCAGTTACTGTTAGCAAAAGGGAACCAGAAGATGGGCTGCAGGGCCCTACCTTGTGAGTGGGGCATCTGTTGGACTTTCCACCTGGTCATATACTCTGCAGCTGTTAGAATGTGCAAGCACTTGGGAACAGCATGAGCTTGCTGTTGTATACAGGGTATTTCTAGAAGCAGAAATAGACTGGGAAGATGGGCAACCAAGGGGTTACAGGCATGGCCGTGCTCCTCACCTGTATTTTGTAATGAGAAATAAATTGCTTTTAACGAAATCTGGCGTCTTTGCACTGTGTCTGCTGTGGAGGCAGGCCCCTGGCAAACGGGGGGTGAGGAGCTTGAAGAGGGTAGAACAGGCTGTGCTAATACACAGAAAAGTAATTGTAACTTGCCCTAAATTGAATTATCCTTTATATATACCATTTACAAACCAAATAATTGTGGTTGGCAGTACCTGGTGCTTTCCAGTTAATGTAAAACATTCTAATTCAGCTGCAAAGTATGGACCCATCCCCCCACTGCCAGGCTGATGTAGTCCCAGCAGTCTGTAGAAACAAGTATTTTGCAAATGATAAGCACTGGAATAACAATGCTAGGCTTTATGTATGAAACCTATTAGGTCTGCCAGTCTGAATCCTGGAAAGGGCATTGATATAGAGCATTTAGTACTTGGTAGCAATTTAATAAAATGTCCCAGGTCAAAGCTTGCTGGGGTGGGCCCCATTCCCATTTTACTGATGTCCAGCAGTCAGGTCATACCCAGGGCTTTACCACACTCAGCCTAAATACTAATACGTCATACCCAGGGCTTTAACACACTCAGCCTAAATACTAAAGGTAAACATGCTGTGAAGTAAAGGAAGCTGGATTCATGCTGTCCTTGGCAATTGGATGCCAAGACTCAGGGATAACCCTTTGGTAGTTGTGTACTACATGTACAACATAACCCCAGAGAAAGATGAGTGGACAGTGCTATGCTTTGTGTTGACAGATTATAACTTGCCACACCATTCCATCATGGGCTTATTAACCTTTCCAGAAAAGTCGAACCACAGTGGCTTGTGTTTTCCCTGAGAATCAGTGAACATGGGTGGTGCCTAGCCCTGCAAGAGTCCCCACATGGGTTCCCGTTCACCAGCGAAGCCTACTCCGGGAATAATCAGACTTAAAACATAATCTTTTTCTTTTTTTTTTGTTTTTGAGACGGAGTCTCGCTCTGTCGCCCAGGCTGGAGTGCAGTGGCGTGATCTCCACTCACTGCAAGCTCTGCCACCTCCCGGGTTAACGCCATTCTCCTGCCTCAGCCTCCCTAGAAGTTGGGACTACAGGTGCCCGCCACCACACCCGGCTAATTTTTTTGTATTTTCAGTAGAGACAGTTTCACCATGTTCACCAGGATGGTCTCGATCAGGTGACCTTGTGATCCGCCTGCCTTGGCCTCCCAAAGTGCTGGGATTACAGGCATGAGCCACCGCCTCCGGCTTTATTATTATTATTATTTATTTTATTTATTTATTTATCTTTTTGAGACGGAGTCTCGCTCTGTTGCCCAGGCTGGAGCACAGTGGCCGGATCTCAGCTCACTGCAAGCTCCGCCTCCCGGGTTTACGCCATTCTCCTGCCTCAGCCTCCCGAGTAGCTGGGACTACAGGCGCCCGCCACCTCGCCTGGCTAGTTTTTTGTATTTTATAGTGGAGACGGGGTTTCACCGGGTTAGCCAGGATGGTCTCGATCTCCTGACCTTGTGATCCGCCCGTCTCGGCCTCCCAAAGTGCTGGGATTACAGGCTTGAGCCACTGCGCCCGGCCAGCTCCGGCTTTAAAGCATAATCTTAAACTTCACAAACTCCATGTGAAATAGTACAATTACCTTCCAAAAGCATGATCCAGGCCGGGCGCGGTGGCTCAAGCCTGTAATCCCAGCACTCTGGGAGGCCGAGACGGGCGGATCACGAGGTCAGGAGATCGAGACCATCCTGGCTAACACGGTGAAACCCCATCTCTACTAAAAAAAATACAAAAAAAAACTAGCCGGGCGAGGTGGCGGGCGCCTGTAGTCCCAGCTATTCGGGAGGCTGAGGCAGGAGAACGGCGTAAACCCAGGAGGCGGAGCTTGCAGTGAGCTGAGATCCGGCTACTGCACTCCAGCCTGGGCGGCAGAGCGAGACTCCGTCTCAAAAAAAAAAAAAAAAAAAAAAGCATGATCCATTAGCAAATGGGAAAGTGGGCTTTAAAAAACTTAAGTTTTTTTTTTTTTTTTTTTTGAGACGGAGTCTCACGCTGTTGCCCAGGCTGGAGTGCAGTGGCGCGATCTCGGCTCACTGCAAGCTCCGCCTCCCGGGTTCCCGCCATTCTCCTGCCTCAGCCTCCTGAGTAGCTGGGACTACAGGTGCCCGCCACCGCGCCCGGCTAATTTTTTGTATTTTTAGTAGAGACGGGGTTTCACTGTGGTCTCGATCTCCTGACCTTGTGATCCGCCCGCCTCGGCCTCCCAAAGTGCTGGGATTACAGGCTTGAGCCACCGTGCCCGGCCTTTTTTTTTTTTTTTTTTTGAGACGGAGTCTCACATGATCTTGGCTCGCTGCAACCTCTGCCTTCTGAGTACAAGTGATCCTCCTGCCTCAGCCTCTCTAGCAGCTGGGACCGCAGGCACGTACCAACACACCCAGCTAAGTTTTGTATTTTTAGTAGAGATGGGTTTCACCATTTGGGCCAGGATGGTCTCGATCTCTTGACCTTGTGATCCGCCCGCCTCAGCGTCCCAAAGTGCTAGGATTATAGGCGTGAGCCACCGCACCCAGCTAAAAATTTTTAAGATTTTGAGAAGACACCATCAGGAAAGACAAGTCACAGACTAGGAGAAAATATAAGTCATCTCTATTTGAAGTTCTTGTATCCTGCTATAAAGAACTCTTGGCCAGGAGCTGTGGCTCATGCCTGTAATCCCAGCATTTTGGGAGGCCAAGGCAGGAGGATCACTTGAGGCCAGGAGTTTGAGATCAGCCTGGCCAACATGGTGAAACTTCATCTCGACTAAAAATACAAAAATTAGCTGGACGTGCCAGTGGGCACCTGTAATCCCAGCTAGTCAGGAGGCTGAGGCCGGAGAATCACTTGAATCCAGCAGGCCGAGGTTGCAGGGAGCCGAGATCTCGCCATTGCACTCCAGCCTGGGAACAAGACCGAAACTGCGTCTCAAAAAAAAAAAAAAAAACTCTTACATGATGTGGTGGCTCACACCTGTAACCCCAACCATTTGAAGTGGGAGGACTGGCTTGAGTCCAGGAGTTTGAATCCAGAGGGGGCAGCATAGGGAGACTCTGAGTTAACAAGAACTTTTTGTTTTTGAGACAGCGTCTCACTCTGTTACTCATCCTGGAGTGCTGAGATCCCAAAGTGCTGGGATTACAGGTGTGAGCCACCGTGCCTGGCCAAGAAATTTTTTAAAAATTAGCCAGGCATGGGGCGGGCATGTTGGCTTACGCCTGTAATCCTAGCACTTGGGAGGCCGAGGCAGGCGGATCACGAGGTCAGGAGATCTAGACCATCTGGCCGACACAGTGAAACCCCGTCTCTACTAAAAATACAAAAAAATTAGCCGGGCGTGGTGGCGGGCTCCTGTAGTCCCAGCTACACAGGAGGCTGAGGCAGGAGAATGGCATGAACCTGGGGGGGTGGAGCTTGCAGTGAGCCGAGATCGTGCCGCTGCACTCCAGCCTGGGCGACAGAGTGAGACCTCGGCTCAAAAAAAAAAAAAATTAGCCAGGCATGGTTGGCATATGCCTGTGGTCCCAGCTACTCAGGAGGCTAAGGTGGGAAGATCCCTTGAGCCCAAGAATTCAAGACCAGTCTGGGCAATACAGACAGACCCCATATCTACCAAAAATATTAAGCTGAGCATGTTGGTGGGTGCCTGTGGTCCCAGCTACTTGGGATTCTGAGATGGGAGGATTGCTTGAGCCAGGGAGGTTGAGGCTGTAGTGAGATGTGATCACACCACTGCACTAGAGCTTGGTCAACAGAGTGAGATGAGATCCTGTTTAAAATTAAATAAATACGGCCAGGCACAGTGGCTCACACTTATAATCCCAGCACTTTGGGAGGCCAAGGCAGGTGGATCACTTGAGGTCAGGAGTTGCAGACAAGCCTGGCCAACATGGTGAAACCCCATCTCTATTAAAAATACAAAATATTAGGCATGGTGGCGCATGCCTATAATCCCAACTACTCTGGAGGCTGAAGCAGGAGAATCACTTGAATCCAGGAGGCGGAAGTTGCAGTGAGTCGAGATTGTGCCACCGCACTCCAGCCTGGGCAACAGAGCGAGACTCCATCCCAAAAATAAAAATAAAAAAGCACCAAAACTTTTGAGATACACACACACACACACACACACACACAGAGAGAAAACCTCTGTCTATAACAGCAATGTCCAGCAAAACTTGGTATTTTTTTTTTGGGGGGGAGATTGAGTCTCACTCTGTCACCCAGGCTGGAGTGCAGTGGCACGATCTCAGCTCACTGCAACCTCCGCCTCCCGGATTCAAATGATTCTCCTACCTCAGCCTCCCAAGTATCTGGGACTACAGGTTCATGCCACCATGCCCAGCTAATTTTTTTTTGTTGTTGTTGTTGTTGAGACAGAGTCTCGCTTTGAGGCCCAGACTGGAGTGCAGTGGCCGGATCTCAGCTCACTGCAAGCTCCGCCTCCCGGGTTCACGCCATTCTCCTGCCTCAGCCTCCCGAGTAGCTGGGACTACAGATGCCCGCCACCTCGCCCGGCTAGGTTTTTGTATTTTTTAGTAGAGACGGGGTTTCACCGTGTTAGCCAGGATGGTCTCGATCTCCTGACCTTGTGATCCGCCCGCCTCGGCCTCCCAAAGTGCTGGGACTACAGGGATGAGCCAGCACGCCCGGCCTTTTTTTTTTTTTTTTTAATTTAATGTTCTATAGCTGCACTAATTGATAGACAATACACAAGCCACTAACCCCACCTGTGGCTACTGAGCACTTAAATATGAATAGAGTGAGGCTGGGTGCCGTCTCACACGTGTTCCCAGAACTTTGGGAGGCCTCCGGAGAATCACTCGAGCCCAGGAGTTGGAGACCAGTCTGGGTAATATGGTGAGATCTTGTCTCTACTAAAAATAAAATAAATTAGCTGGGCATGGTGACACACACACATAGTCCCAGCTACTTGGGAGGCTGAGGTGGGAGGACTACCTGAGGCTGGGGAGGTCGAGGTTGCAGTTAGCTATGATTGAGCCACTGCACTCTAACCTGGGCGACAGAGACCCTAGGAAGTCTCTAAAAATACACAAAATACTGTCATTATTCAGCTATTTAGACTTGCGCTGTTCAACACAGTAGCCTTTAGCCACATGTGGCTATTTAGATATAACAGTCAAATTTAAAATTTTAGGTCCTCGGCTGGGTGCGGTGGCTCATGCCTGTAATCCCAGCACTTTCCGAGGCCGAGGCGGGTGGATCACCTGAAGCCATGAGTTCGAGACCAGCCTGGCCAACATAGCAAAACCCCATCTCTACTAAAAATACAAAAATTAGCCTGGCGTGGTGGCGCGTGCCTGTAATCCCAGCTACTCAGGAAGCTGAGACAGGAGAATCGCTTGAATCCTGGAGGCGGAGGTTGCAGTGAGCTCATATCGCGCCACTGCACCCCATCCTGGGTAACAGGGCAAGACTCCATTTCAAGAAAAAAAAAATTAGGTCCTCAGTCGTAAAAGTCACGTTTCGAGTGCCAGTCACTACCGTATCCACCAGCGCAGATACAGAAAATTTCCATCACATAAAGTTCTACTAGACGATCCTGTTATCGACAGAAAACCAGCAGAAGGATCGCTCCACCGCAACCCCTGGCACCAATTAAATCACCATCTGCGGATGAAATGAGAAAAGTAGTTTGCTTTCTCTCTTTTTTTTTTTTTTTTCCTTTTTTTTGAGTCGGGCTCGCTCCGTCGCCCAGGCTGGAATGCAGTGGCGCAATCATAGCTCACTGCAGCCATGACCTCCCCGGCTCAAGCGCTCCTCCTGCCTCGACCTCCCAAAGTGTTGTGATTACAGGCGCGGCCACTGCACTCGGCGAGAGTAACTTTCACTGCACTTCTGAAAGCTCGTGGGCAGCTCCTGCCCCTAACAAAGATGGCGACACCGCCACACATGCTCCTAGCACTCTCCGGCGGCCTGCCCTTCAAAAAGACGGCCGCCGCCTCATCCAGTTTGAAGGCCGAACGAACACAGCCACGCGGTATCCAAATCCCACGGGAGCCTACGCCGCGCAGAAACAGGACGGACTCCGTACGACTCTCGCGATAATACGGGCGGGCTGAAGGCTGCTCACATCTTACCAGCCTGAATAATCGCGCCCGGCGCCGTGGGGCCTAAGACTCTCGCGAGACAGTATCCACCACTTCCCGCCCGTCAGTCCTTCACGGTCCCCGAACCGCCTGCTGGTCGAAGTGCAGCCTGTCAATCAGAGTCGCGGTCGAGGCCCCGCCCAAGGCCGTGTACGCCGCTCCTTACGTAAGTTCCTCTCCAGCCCCTGCGTAGTCGATAAGGAAGCCCGGACGCCACTGCCGCTTTCTTTTTTCAGGCCGGCCGGGAAGATGGCGGACATTCAGGTGTGGGCTCGAGGCTTGGTGTCAGGCTGCAGGGTCCGCCCTGGCCTTCAGGGGCGTATCCGGGAGGGCAGAGCCGGGCGCCCAAGTTCGGGGGTTAATTCCGGGCGTCCGTGATTATTTTCCAGAGATTAGCTGGGGCGGAGGGCGCATGCTTTTGCCTGTTTCTAGACGAGTGCTTCCTAATTCCTGGGGGCTCCGGGCGTTAATGGAGGCTCAAGCGTTTTAGGACTTACCTTCTTAAAAACCAAGTTTAAGAAGGTTTTCTTGGAGTTTTCCGGTCTTAAGGGTTAATTCTATGGAAAAGGACTCCTAAGGGCGAATCCAAGGAGCCTGCCGTTTGGTATTTAATTCTGAGTTTTTATGTACCACATAAGGAGTGAATCCTGGGTGGGCGACCTTGGGTCTTGGAGAGTGATCCTCGCTGAAAGATGTCCAGGGTGTGAGAGGGGTGGTCCTGGTTTAGAGGATGAATTTTGCAAGCCCTGGGAGGCCTTCTGGAGTATATAAATTGAAATAACCTCGGGCTTAGATCTGAGTATGAATTACAGGTAAGGTCGGGGTGGTCGTGTCTTAGAGGGTGATTCTGGGGCACCAGGCCTTGGAGGCCAGCGCTTTGCAAGTAAATGTAGAGAATGGGGTCTGGGAGGTTCTGGGAAGGTCTCTAGGGCTGGTTGCTGCCGGCTGCAAACTTAGCAGCTCATCAGTTTTCTCATACCTGTAGACTGAGCGTGCCTACCAAAAGCAGCCGACCATCTTTCAAAACAAGAAGAGGGTCCTGCTGGGAGAAACTGGCAAGGAGAAGCTCCCGCGGTACTACAAGAACATCGGTCTGGGCTTCAAGACACCCAAAGAGGTGCGGGGAACCTCAGAAGAAAGAAGGGGACCGTGGCGTCCCTGCACGTGTGCCCACATCGAGTTGCGTCTGAGTGGCCGGTCCCGGGGCTGATGGGAATTGTAGTTCGCTTCCCTGGGGCCACGCCCCCGGCTCTTTTCAGGAACCGCCTGCCCAAGGCTCACTCTTTTCTCTTTCCTATCCGTTCAGGCTATTGAGGGCACTTACATTGACAAGAAATGCCCCTTCACTGGTAATGTCTCCATTCGAGGGCGGATCCTCTCTGGTAAGTGCGGGAGTTCTTGGTGTCTGGGGCCTGAAATACTGAAAGAAGGGGCTTGGGGCCCAGACTCCTGGGTCCTGGGTGAGAGAGGTGGTTGGGAATGCAAACTTGTGGGTACAGGCAGGGGCATTGGCAGATGATGTCGGTTTTCACGATGGTCTTCAGATGCCCACGTGGGCACTGCTGAGAAAGCCACTTGGTTAAAACTGATGCCGGAAACAGGGCTTCTTGGGATTCCTGCTCAGCTGCTGCTGACTCCCAGCATGCCCCAGGTTACCCATGGCCCTCTTTCCCATGGGACTTGACCTAGGATCTGCCCCTGCTCCTAGGTGTGGTGACGAAGATGAAGATGCAGAGGACCATTGTCATCCGCCGAGACTACCTCCACTACATCCGCAAGTACAACCGCTTCGAGAAGCGCCACAAGAACATGTCTGTGCACCTGTCCCCCTGCTTCAGGTGAGCACGGTGGCCCATCAGGTTGCTCAGGCCAATTTAAGGCCAACTGAGGGAGTGGGTGACTGAGGTGGCATCTCTGGGAAGCCCCAGAGTCTCAGGATTTCTATATTATATGTTCTTCAGAATCAAAGTGTTCCACAGGTTGAATATCTCTGTCTGAAACGCTTGGGACCAGATTTTGGAATGTTCTCATATGCATAATGAGATGTTTTGGGAATGTGACATATGACATAGGTCTAAACACGAAGCTCATTTGTTTCATGTCCATCTTACTCACACAGCCTGAAAGTAATCTTACGCAGTACATTTTATAATTCTGTGTGTGAAACAAAGTTTGCATACATTGAACCATGGGAAAGCAAAGGTGTCATGCTGGTACGCAAAAAATGTCTGATTTTAGCTGGGCACCGGGCTCAAGCCAGTCATCCTAGCACTGTAGGAGGCTGAGGCAAGAGGATCCCTTGAGCCCAGGAGTTTGAGACCAGCCTGGGCACATGGCAAAACCCACTACAGAAAATACAAAAGTTTGCCAGGTGTGGTAGCATGTGCTGTAGTCCTAGGTCTTCAGGAGGCTGGGGTGGGAGGATTGCTTGAGCCCAGAAAGTGGAGGCTGCAGTGAGCCGAGATGGCACCACTACTCTCCAGCCTGGGCAACAGAGTAAGACCCTGTCTCTCCCAGACACACACACAAAATTCAGATTTTGCAGCATTTCAGAATTTTTGGATTAGGGGTGCTGAACCTGTAATAGACAGGTGCCTTGGAACCAAAAGGTTACACCAGATGGGAACCTCAGAAATGTTGGAATTAAACGTTTGTTCATTCCCTCAGCGTGTTTTATTTAGAGCTTATCACGTGCCAAGTTTGGTGTGAGATGCTGGGGGTTCAGTGGTGAGCCAGGGACAAAGTCCTGCTTCCTCATAGGGCACCTTCAGGCAGGGTGGGTGCCAGATGTCAGCCAGGTACAATGAGGGTGGGGATGTGGGCAGCTGATAATGGTGGCCCTCTGGGCGGGAGGATCTTGGGAGCAAGGTGAGAAGTCCTGTGGGCAGGGATGAGGGTGGCCCGAACTGATGCTGAGCGGTAAGGGGCCTGTGGTCGTGGGTGCTACAGGATCCCCCTGCTGCTCTGCTGGAGTGGGGTGGTGAGGAGGCCACTGACAACCTGGGGGCCTCCAGTTTGTGAAATGGAGCTCGTCCACCCCAGCAGTCCTTAGAAGGGTGGTCGCCTGCTCTGTGTACAGCGTTGAGCTTGGTACTTGGCACAAAGTTTGTACCAAAGAATGAGAGGGAGGTTGAATTGGCAAATAGATCTCGGTTAGGGTTTGGTGGAGCCAAAGCAGAGAGCCTTCAGCCTGGCGAAGGGGAGGGAGGGCCTCCTGGGGTCCGCCGGGGTGGCCCCTCCTGAGGACATGGCCTTACCTGCCTCCACAGGGACGTCCAGATCGGTGACATCGTCACAGTGGGTGAGTGTCGGCCCCTGAGCAAGACAGTGCGCTTCAACGTGCTCAAGGTCACCAAGGCTGCCGGCACCAAGAAGCAGTTCCAGAAGTTCTGAGGCTGGACATCGGCCCGCTCCCCACAATGAAATAAAGTTATTTTCTCATTCCCAGGCCAGACTTGGGATCTCTGTGCCTTTACCAGAGCACTAGGGGGATGGGGGTGTCCCTCGGGGAATTGAGCAAGGCTGCTGTCAGGCCTCCTGCCCGTGTCTGTGGGTGAGGACAGTGGAGCCTGAGATACCTGTCTTCCCCTGAGTCTCCTTTTTTGGTCCTTGTCACCTTTTCGGTGTCTGAATAAGGCTGATTACCTGGTGTGCTGTCCTCCCGCGTCACCTTTTTGGTGTCTGAATAAGGCTGATTACCTGGTGTGCTGTCCTCCCGCCCCCTCCGGTCTCTGGGGAGGAAGTGAGTGAGGGCGGAGGCCCCTGGGTCCTCCAGGCCCTGGTCTGTCTCTTTCCTGACCACCTCGGGTGGGGATGAGGGGAAGCTGCAGCCCGCCTGCTGTGGGCATGGGCTCACCCAAGTAGAGTGCGATGTGCTGAGTCCCTGTTGTCTGGCTGTGAACTGTAAAGCTCTTGACTTAAGCCTGGGCTTCCTATCCTTGCTTATAGCCAAGGAGGGGGCCCCATGCACCCACCACCCACTCCTAGTTGGGCACCATGCCTATTTGCATATGAGGAAAGTTACCTGGGAGAGGCCAAGTCCTCCACCTGGAGTCCCAGTGAGTAGCTGAGTTCCAGATCTCAGATTCTAGAAACTTCCTTTGCACCGGCTGTCTCAAAATCGAAGTAAGGAGATTGGTGGTGTGGGTAAGTGGCATCATGACGCTGCCCTGGAGCCCGCTCAGTGGCACCGGGGCCCAGGCTGCTGGGAAGGAAGTGAGTAGGAAGCGCCCGGAGATGGCCCAACACCCAGGGGCCACAGAGATGGGGGCCTTGGGAGGAACAGGGCGGGACAGACACGGTGGCCCAGGGTTGTGGCACATGGGGAGGAAGGGTTTGCAGAGCTGGGGAGAGCACAGAGACCACCGGGAGAGGCAGGTACGATAGAAACAGGTGCACTCTGCGCATCACAGAGGTGGGATGACAGGCGTGGGGTCGGGGGGCAGCAAGGCAGGAGCACACCAGAGGGTCTGTGGGACCCAAAGGGGAGAGACCTGCATCAAAGCAGCAGCAGAGATGGGGGTACAGGGAAGGGAGGTCTGAATGCTTGCTGACCTCTTTCGGGCCTGCCGGTGCCGGGGTCCCCAGGTCCCTGTCCCCCAGGCCTGTACCAGGGTCTGAGCCCAGCACTGGTACAAGGGTTGGGAGACAGGGCCATGGGGAGAGGAGCCGCCGCTGCCGCTGCTGTCTCGGGGACGCCGCCTCCCCGTGGGCCCAGTCCCTGCCTTATACCCAGGTCCAGGGAGGGCGGGGGTTCCTGCCAGAGGAAGTGGGGCCGCATCAAAGAGGGCAGGAAGGGGCAGGGACAGGTTGGGGGGACGCCGCCCTGAGTCGCAGAAACTGCACACCCACCCCACCCTATGCTGGGGGCAGTAGAGATCCAGAGAGGGGCAAAGGGGGAGTGTGGACTCCAGAGGGAGGGGACGGAGACCCAGAGGGGGATGGGAGGTCACGGCCCCCTCCCCTCGGCCGCAGGTGTTTCCGTTCGGGTGGGGCGGCTGTGTTTACAACAACAGCCCGGCTCCCTGGTTTCCTCCTCGATTGTTGGGGCGTCTCCTTGGCACCCCATTGCGTCAGGTTGTGTGCTGGGGTCACAGTGTGTGCTGGGGAGGGACCTCTGCTGGGCCTGGTGGATGCAAAGACCAAGTTTAAAAGACCCCCTGGAACCCCTCGACAGGCCTTGCACCTGAAGAGTGGGGATAAGGACTATAGGTTCTTTTCATTTTTTAATTTTATTTTGTTTTTGAGGCAGAATCTTGCTCTGTCGCCCAGGCTGGAGTGCAATGGCACAATCTTGGCTCATCGCAACCTCCGCCTCCCAGGTTAAAGCCATTCTCCTGCCTCCATCTCCTGAGTAGCTGGGTTTACAGACGTGCGCCACCACACCAAGCTAATTTTTAAATTTTTAGTAGAGAAAAATTTTAGTAAATTTTTCACCATGTTGGCCAGGCTAGTCTCAAACTCCTGACCTCATGATCCACCTGTGTTGGCCTCCCAAAGTGCTGGGATTACAGGCATGAGCCACCATGCCCGGCCAAGAGAAACTATTTCTTAGCCCAAATATTCGTGTGTCATAGTTCAGGAACAAGTCAGTGACAAACTTCTAAGTAATTCAACCTGAAGAAATTCTTTATATTCCAAGATAATTGCACTCTGAAAGATACCAGCCTTCCGGCCAGGTGCAGTGTATATATATGTGTGTGTATATATATATATAAGTATATATATGTGTGTGTATATATATATATATATATATATATATACACACACACACACACATACACCAGCCTTCCTCATCTCAAAATCTTTCATGGAATCATCATTTCTGTAGAAATCTGCATATGCCTTCTTTTTTGGTTCAGCTACAGCAAACGTATAGAAAGCTGCAGCCCCCAGGGATACCATAATGCTTCAACAATATGAAGTCACAGATGCTTGGCCAGAAGGCCACGCATCTGAGGTTTTGGCAAAACTTCAGAAGCCATGGTGGTTACTGTCCTTGATAACGTACGTCCGCCTCAACACCAGCGTCCTTCCTGATTGATGGAAAAATGGATGGTCGTGAAGGGAATTAATGATGTGAAGTTGCCACATTTTCACTGGGCGGACCTTGACCCCTAGGCTTCAGGGGCTCAATAACTGGAAGCAGTAAAGCTGAGCCAGAGGCCCCAGATGCAACAGAGACCCACCGAGGCTCTGTTCCAACTTCTGGCCCTGCAGCTCCCTGGCCGTGTGTGGCCTTGGAAAAGAGACCCACTCCTCCACCACAGAGCCTCAGTTTCCTAATCTGTTAAATGGCTTCTTGCCTCCCTGCCCTATTGGGAGGATCAATATGCTCATGTGTGCCGGGTCCCGTGGCTCATGGCTGTAATCCCAGCACTTCGTAAGGTCGAGGCAGGCGGATTACTTGAGGTGAGGAGTTTAAGACCACCCTGGCCAATGTGGCGAAACCATGTCTCTGCTAAAAATACAAAAGTTAGCCGGTGTGATAGCGTGCACCTGTAGTCCCAGCTACTCAGGAGGCTGAGGCAGGAGAATCACTTGAACCCGGGAGGTGGAGGTTGCAGTGAGCCGAGATTGCACTCCACCTGGGCAACAGAGGGCGACTCAGTCTCAAAAAAAAAAAAAACAAAAAAAAAACAATGCTCATGTGTGATAATGGGATAGAACCGTCCTGATTAAGTGTACACTGGAAAGTAACAATGCGGGGGGCCCTCAGCCTGCTGTTGGAGAAAGGCCCCATAGTGTCATGTTACAGCATCCCCTGAGGCCCCTTGGTCAGGCTTAAGGACCAGGGCCTCTGGCAGGCAGCCCTTGCTGTAATGGACCTGTGGTTTTTGTTTTAATATTTATTGTATGATTGCAGAATCCTGGCTCCATTACAGCAAGCCCTGGTAGTTTGTCACGGGATGTTGAGTCTGTTTTAGCATGTTTCTAGAATATTCTGTCGAATATCTATAGGGGGCCCCAATGGCATTGCCTTTTCACAGGAAAGTTAGCTTTTATAGTAGGGTTCTGGGTTTATAATGATAGCGGTCAGGCCAGGTGCTGTGGCTCACACCTGTAATCCCAATACTTAGGGAAGCCAGGGCAGGAGGATCGCTTGAGCCAGAAGTTAGAGACCAGCCTGAGCAACATAGGGAGACTCCTGTCTCTACTAAAACAATAATAATAATAATAATTAGGCCAGGCGCGGTGGCTCATACCTGTAATCCCAGCACTTTGGGAGGCCAAGGCAGATCACGAGGTCAGGAGTTCGAAACCAGCCTGGTCAATATGGTGAAACACCATCTCTACTATAAATATTAACATTAGCCAGACGTGGTAGTCCCAGCTATTCGGGAGGCTGAGGCAGGAGAATCGCTTGAACCCAGGAGGCGGAGGTTGCAGTGAGACGAATCATGCCACTGCACTGCAGCCTGGGTGACAGAGTGAGACCCCATCTCCAAAAAAAAAAAAAAAAAAAAATTCAGTTGGGTCTGTAGTCCCAGCTATTCAGGAGGCTGAGGCAGGAGGATCACTTAAGCCCAGAGGTCTGAATCTATAGCAGGCTAGGATGACACCACTGCACTCCAGCCTGGGTGACAGAGTCAGACCCTATCTCAAAGCAAAAAAATAAAAAGACAGGCATCAGACCTACCGTGTGAAAACAGGGCAGGTCTCGGTTATCTTTTTTTTTTTTTTTTTTTTTTTTTTTTTGAGATGGAGTCTCTCTCTGTCCCCCTTGCTGGAGTGCAGTGGCCAGATCTCAGCTCACTGCAAGCTCCGCCTCCCGGGTTCAGGCCATTCTCCTGCTCAGCCTCCGAGTAGCTGGGACTACAGGCGCCCGCCACCTCGCCCGGCTAGTTTTTTTGTATTTTTTAGTAGAGACGGGGTTTCACTGTGTTAGCCAGGATGGTCTCGATCTCCTGACCTCGTGATCCACCCGTCTCGGCCTCCCAAAGTGCTGGGATTACAGGCTTGAGCCACCGCGCCCGGCCAGGTCTCGGTTATCTTGTATTGCAGCCCTGCACCTACGATATTAGAGCCAGATGGGTGTCATTGCTGCAGCCTCCTGTGGGCTATTAGAATACTAAGTAAGACCTTGGGCTCCTGTAACAGGCCCTGCTGATATTATATGGTTGCAATACTCAGGTATATTATAGCCGGCCCATGGCTGTATTTGTAATTATATAATATAAAATATGTTATCAGCCAGACGCAGTGGCTCACGCCTGTAATCCCAGCACTTTGGGAGGCCGAGGCGGGCGAATCACAAGGTCAGGAGATCAAGACCATCCTGGCCAACGTGGTGAAACCCGGTTTTAATAAAAATACAAACTTTAGCTGGGCATGGTGGCATGTGCCTGTAGTCCCAGCTACTCGGGAGGCTGCGGCAGGAGAATCGCTTGAACCCGGGAGGCGAAGGTTGCAGTGCGACAAGATTGCACAACTGCGCTCCAGCCTGG